GTAACCAAAACAGGAGATTCTCTCACAGGCCCCACAGCAGCTACTTCACATCCCCTGTCAAGATGTGGAGACAGTCCAGCAGTCAGGGCCACAGCATGGACATTCTTAGGATTGGCACTAGGCCCTTTCCGACAAGTCTCTAGGGAAGTTGCTGTTCTCTCAGAGACTGAGACCCTGGGAGAGGAATGATGTCGTGCCTGCCCAGGCTTCCAGCACAAAGATAGCACGTCAGTAAATACCCATGGCTGGTGTCCATCCTCGCAGAGATTACCGTGCAGACCAGTGTGGACAAACCCCCCACAACACCCCCACAGAGGACTCCTCAGCACTCCCAGTGCGCATTTCCAGTCCCACTCCTTCCTGGCCTGGCACTTCCTGCGGGAAGCTCAGTTTTGTTAGCTTGCCTGGGCACACCTGCCCCCTCCCCTGAGTCCAGCTGCGCTGTGTTTACTCGGCAACCAGCCAGGCGCCTTTCCCTGGTTACCACCCACCAGGTGATAAGCCCTCCCAGGGGCCTCCCAAAGAAGGAGAGGCTATCGACACTCCTCCCGCCAAGGTGCTCTGAGCCGCTTTCCCTAACAGAACCACTGTTCAGTCCATCCCTCTCATAAACAGTCAAGCTCCCACCTCCAAAAAGAGCTCGCTCTTCCTCAAAATCTAATTCTCTTGAGGGTGCAGACCAGGAGCCCTGCCACTCTGGGCTCCACAGTTCCTGGTGCCCCAGAGCCCACCCTCGCGGCCTCAAGCTGATGGGAATGCCTACATCTCCAGAACCGACAGGAAAGAATCAGCCAGGCAGAGGCAACCCACAAGCGACTTCCCAGAGGCCACACCCTGCTCAGAATGGATCCAGAAACCTGGGACAGAGCCACCTTGGGAACTCTTCCTGGAGAGAAGAGAGAACAGGCTCAACAGCCACAGACGTGCCTGAAACATCTCAATATGGTAGTGCCTTCTAGGTTCTGGGAGACGAAGACGGGGAGCAGGAAGCAGGTTAAAGTGTCCTCGTTAAAATATTTACACTTTGCAGGAGGACTTGGAGACAGGAACAAAAAGTTACTGACAGAACTGTGTATTGTCTGACACCGTGTACACACACACACACACACACACACACACACACACACACACACCTGACGGGGCAAACGGCAGGATGAGGTTTCTCCAGGGGTTTCTCCCTTGCCTGCCCTGTGCCAGCTTTCTCAACCCCTTAGCATGTGATTCTCCTGGAAGAACGGAACCCCTCATTTCCTATTAGAAACTCTATCAGTCCCTCTGGATTCTGTCAACTGTGGCAAAGGCCACCGTGGGAACTTTGTGTCACCTGGGAGGCCTGGAGCATAGCGAGAGGAGCATTCTTGACAGGGGCCTTCCCCCACTCCTGTGCCCAGCCCACTGTGATTTCAGGAAAGGCAGGCGGTGTCTTATCCAAGACAGAGTTTTGTCTGAGCTTCAGAGGCAATGGGAGGGGACCAGATACAGGGGAGCTATCCCTAGCTGGTACTCTGCCTTTGGGGCGCCTGCCCGGCCCACACTGTCAGTCATCCAAGTTCCTTCTCTGGCCTTTTTTGGTCTCCTTCCGCTGACCCTCCAGTTCCTGCAGGAGCTCTGAAATGCGGAACAGGAAACTCACAGCAGTGGAGGTAAAAACTGATTTGTGGGGGCCCTCCAGAGAGGAAAAGAAGGGAAAGTTGGAACTCAGCCGTTCGCATGTACCCCTCACCTGGCCTTTAAGGTGCTCATTTGTGCATGCATATGAACATGCTCTCTCTCTCTCTCTCTCTCTCTCTCTCTCTCTCTCTCTCTCTCTCTCCCTTGGCCAGCTGGCTAGCATGCACCTAGCATGAACCAACCCTCCACTCTGGGCAGTGGCGGTTCCTGTTGGTTGGGATAAAATGGTGGGGAGGGCTAGAGGGGACCTCCAGAAAGTTTGAAGTCGGGGGAGGTATAAGCAGTTCTATTTTCTATATCCCCACCCCATCTGTTTTGTTTCCTTTCAGGATGGTCAGTCAGTACCATGTTCTGTCCCACGTGGGGAAGGCATGGAGGCTAGGACAAATGTCTCCAACCCCCAGACAGTGCTGAGCCAAGGTTTGCCGTGGGCAATGAGGCTTCAGGAAAGGCTACCTGGTACTCACAGTCTGAGAGCCAAGAGCAGAGAGACGGGCAAAGGAGCTTGGGGAGGAGGGGGAAGCTTCTAGAGGTTACCAGCCCAGGCTGGTAGGAGGCTGGCTCAAGAGACAAAGAAATGTAACTTTGCAAGAGGGAAGCCACCTCAGAGTCACCTCTGCTTCCCTGACCTCCCGGGGCACTTGGCGGGGTCTTTCAAGCTCACCTCAGCTCTCCCCTTGCCTGCTGTCCCCAAACTCTTGTCCGCCTCAGACCCTGCTCCGCTTTGATGCCCTGTGGCTCTGTTTGGATTTCTTCCTGGGAGACAGGAAGGGAGCCTGCATGGTCTCAGAAGCCCAGCTGCCTGTTCTCAGGGAAGCACCCCTCCCCCCTCTCACAGCCACCCAGCCTGCCTTATCCAGTACCACAAAAGAGTGCCTGGGCGCCTCGCGCTCCCTCTGACACAGGTGTCCAGTCTACTGTGCATGCCTCCCATACAGCTAGGTCCTCCCTCTAGCGTGGCCTGGGGACGGACTGAGGTGTGGGGGAGGGGCGGCATGCACCCCTCAGAAAAGGTCCCATCTACTCCAGGAATCCTTCTTTTCCACACATCTACAGAAGGAAAGGATGCTAGAAGGGTTTCCCACTGATGACAAGAGAAAACAGCTCAGTGTCCTGGGAGGGCTGTAGGTCCCCTGCCACTCCCGAGACTCTTCTCAGCCCCCTGACCCTGCAGAGCGCAGAACTCACCCCTGGGAGAGTCTTCTGTTCGTGCAGGGCACTCTGGGCCTTCAGGGCTGAATCGCGGGCACAGTATGTCAGGAAGGCACATCCTGAGGAGACACAGGTGGAGAGGCAGGGTTGGGGTGAGTCCCCAGTTTCCCCTTGCTAGGGTTTCCCCAGGAGACTGAGGATGGGGAAGGCGTTTCCCCTTCTTGCCATCTCTGCCGGCTGGGTTGGGGAGGCATCCCAGAGGGATAAAAATTATACCCTTTTCTGGAGCAGAGACCTGAGGTGAGGGACACAGGAGGGAGAGCATTTGATGTGTTGAGAGACGGGACTGGGACAGGAAGAGCTGTGATTTCCAAGCAGGTAGGGCAATGTGGGGCTCTCTCTCTCTTTCCCTCCCCCTTTCTCCTCCTCTTTCCTCTCTCTCCCCTTCTTCCCTCCATCTTGGTCATCATCACCCTCTCCTCTTCCATTTCCCCTACTTCTCAGGTCTCCCAGACTCCACCAGAGGCAGGTGCAGGCTGCGCATAGAGATGGAAGAGGAAAGCAGCAGCCGGAAGTGCTTTTTCCTGAGCCCAGAGAGCGGGGAGGTGGTGTGGCCCGGGTTCCCAGCATATCTGGAGCTCTCCAAGTGCTGATCCCAGACCAGCCCCGTTTAGCAGTGCAGCTCTTGGAGAGCCCTGAGGAGCATTTTCCTAATAACTTCCTAAGTCCTGCAAACCTTGTCCAGTCTCTCTTCCCCACGTCCCTCTCCTCTGCTCGTCACTTTCGTCCTGCGCTGCCCTGGCTTGGCTATACCCCACTCTTTCTAGGTTGAACACCTGGCTGGCCGTTACAACATCATCTGTGGCTACTCACATTGTCAGTATCGGTCCTCTCTCCTCAAACTTGTCCCTCCGGTCCTTCTGGAGTTCCTTCCATGCCATCAGCACCCTTCTCCATCTCTAAGTACAGTTCTCCTTAGTTTTCCACCCCAAAGTCCCTGTCACTCAACTGAGTTCTCATTCAACTTCTCCATCCAGTCCCCAGCCCCTGAACTCTGCTTCCAAATCATTCCTTCCCAGCCATTCAATCCCTCCGGTTTCCTCCATCCTTGCTGCCTCCTCTCCAGCCTGGCTTGACCCCTCACCCTTGTGCAGCCCGGTGTACTTGTCCTTGATGACAGTCAGCTCGAAGATCCGACCAAACTGCTCGAAGATGGGCTTCAGGTCCTTTTCCTCCAGATGCCTCGGGATCTGCCCCACAAACAGCTTGATGGCATCCGGCTCCTTCATTGGGGCGGCCCAGGAGGAGGGGCCAGGGGGGGAGCAGGGAGAGGCCCAAAGACAAGGGAAGCTGCCCAACAAGGAGGCAGGTGGTGGGGCCCAGGGGCCCAGCAGGGCCGGCTTTCCCTTTGGCCCCCAACCACAGTGCTGATCAGAGGAGGGCTCTTCACACAAAGGAGGACTGGGGAGTTGAGGGCTAGGGGTCAGGGGTCTAGGCAGATACTGTCAGGCCACCAGGGGGCATAGCCCAAACAAATGATCTCCCTCCCAGAGATCTGGCAAATATCCCAGGATGGGGGTCAGGGCAGCTAAGCCCTGGGGCGTTTGGGTGGTAACAGGAGCGCTGGAGCGCAGAGGGCGGGAGTAAAGGCACAAATGCCACAAGAGACGAGGAAAGAGTAAGAGGAGGGCGATCGGAAGGAGGCTGAGGGGCTAGGGGCCTGATATGGTTGCCAGCGGCGTCATGAGGGGTCCCTGCTCCTGATGTGGGAGAGGTGACTCTCTCGTTGGCTTCCTAGGGAGGACACCTCCCTTGTGGCTGATCCTTCTGCTGGGTCCGAAGATCCCTGATGCCAAATACTTGATCTCTGATGGCGGCAGGGTTCCGGGGGTCCCTTCTGCCCTGCCCCCTTCGGGTTCTCCCTCGACCCCCCTCCCACCCCCACCCTGGATGGTTCCCCGGCCTGGACCGCTGCCGGCTACTTCCGACACTAGGGCTGCCTTCTTTCCCGGTCACCTGGGTCCCGGAGCTCTGCTCTCCGGCCGCGCTCTCCTCAACAAAAACCTCCCCCCCCCTCCACACCCCCCATCCCCACTCCCACCTCCTTTCCCCTGACATCAGTGATGTCAGTCTCAGGGGTAGAATACAAATTCTCTACTCTGGAGAGAGACGCACAACCCAGGCAAAAGCCACTCCCTCTTTCTATCTCTATCCTCCCTGACTCCCTTTCCACCCTAGAAGAGCAGCTGGTCTTGTTAACAACCCTTCCCCCATTTTACTCCCCAATCAGGAATTGGGCAATACACTACAATGGAGAATTTATAGAGGAGCCCTAAGGTGGGGTCCATTGTTCCGGGGGCTGGAGCTGTCCCCGGTGCTGGAAGGGGAAGAGAAGACCCAGGGGATGGAATCTGGGGGTGGGGAGTAGAGGGGAGTCTGGTGTTTGGGGAGCCTGAAAATGAGGAATCAAGGAAGAGAAACGGGAGAGAACAGGCAGCAGGTTGAGGGGCAGAAAGGGAGGTGTAGATGAAGAAGCGGTCACAGGGTTGGGGGAAAAGAGCAAAAGTGAGGCAGAGAGGAAAATGCAAAGGGGTGTGGGGAGAGAGAGCTAGTGGAAGCGAGTGCAGAAAGAGGGCTGCATAATTTTCCCGAAAAGAAAGCAAGGGGAACTATAGCAGTCTGGCACTTGGAGACGCCCCCTTGCTTCTCTCTGGGGGGTTTGTGTGTATAAGTGTATGGGCAGGGAGCCCAGCTGCTGGCAGCCCTCACTGGGAAGAAGTCTCTTGAAGTCCAAGATTCCCTTTAATTCGGCATCCCACTGCTCAGAGTCTAGTGTGGTGTCTTGCTCATACATAGTAGGTGCTTACATGCAAAGAACCTGTGACGTGGAGAGTCCCGATTCCTTCTATGGGAACACACACAGCTGCCAGGCTCCCTTGAGGGCCAATACCCAGTTACTCCTTCCTTCACTTGGCGGCAGATGAGAGGAGCCAAAAAACATATTTAGGGACCATTATTCCCCTCCGCCCCCAAAAGAAACCAATTATACTTCAAAACCTGATCATGTGTTCCATGATCCAGAGGAAGGTTGGCCCTCTCTGTTCAAGCACGGTGCCTGCTCAGAGCAGGGAGGGTCTGGGGCCATCAGCTCTCAGTGGTAGCGGTCCAGGCTCACCGTCCCCACTTCACTGGCAGCTTCTGTAGCCCTCCCACTTCCGGCTCTTCTTATTCCGTTCCTCTACCCTGGGTGGAGCTGATGTCTCTAGGGTGCTGTGGGTGTCTCTGAGACTCCCAGATGTACCCTGGAGGCTTCCGTTCCTGAGTTATCACAACAAGCAGATTCTTCTTCTGAATCTGAAATAGCAGAACCGTGTCTTAGGCATTGTTCCAAATGTTTGAGGTTCCTAACTTGTTAAACACACCGCCCTAAATGATATGGATGAAGAAACCAAGGCACAGAGTGGTTGAATAACTTGCCCGAAGTCACACAGTTGGAAATGCGTCCAGCTGAGACTCCAGCCTGGGTAGGCTGGGTTCCACACCCATAATTCCATGTGGGAATGTGGTGATGTGAACCTGGCTGGCCATCTTTCCCTCTGTGCCCCTGAAGCACTGCATGAGAGTCCCTGGTGACCTTCCTCCTGCTCCCCCATTCCTTGGTGACCATGTCCACCTCCTTTAACCTGGGTTTCTGTGGCCTGAAGCTACTACATTCTGGCAGGTGTGTATGTTGAGTGAATGTCTGTGTGGAGACTTGATTACATTTCACCATACAGATAGATGTGCAGGTCCTCCCGACAGGGTGCCCTAAAATGAAACAAGAGGGTGGGGGTCATGGGACTCTATGATGAGTGGCCAGGAGATGCCATGGCAGTGCCAGCAGACCAGGAAGTGGGAAGCTCTTTCTCCACAGTAACTTTCCATTCACCGGCCCCACCCCCACTTCTCCTTTCTTGCCTTTCTAATCCGATCTTGGCATTTGTGGAGATGTTAAACAGATCACGCCCTGCGAACATGGGGGACCCTGTGGATGGGCCCACTGATCTCATTACTGTGTGTCTTCTCGGCTGGTCTGCCTCCCTGCTGCTCATTCAGGCTTGGGCCTAATCATCTTAATTGAAATATTAAACATCCACAAAAATGAATTTCAATGAACCCTTCTGGCTCCTCCTCCCGAGCAGTAACCGGGAGACGGCTGCAGACGGCAATCAAAAGGATTGAGACCCTTTGCTCAGTGTCCAGTCCAGATTGGGGCTGTCAATCAGACTCCCCAAGCTGAGCGGCTGTGGGCACCATCTCTGAAGTTCTTTCAGTCTCGGGGGGATGGGAGCTCTGTGAGGTAAAGACTAAGGGGGAGCCCCAGGAGCGGAGGATTTTCTCTGCCCACCATCCGCAAGCTAGCTCTCTCCTCCTCCTCCTCAGTCAAAGCTAAGCTGCCATGTATGAGAAGATTTCTGCCTTTAAGGTGCTGGAGAGATGGTCACTGGCTGCTCTTTCTGAGGCCCCAGACTCAATTCCCATCACCTGTATCATGACTGACGACCGTCTGTAGCCCCAGGTTCGGTTCCCATCACCTGTATCATGACTGACGACCGTCTGTAGCCCCAGGTTCGGTTCCCATCACCTGTATCATGACTGACGACCGTCTGTAGCCCCAGTTCCAGGCCATCTGATGCCCTCTTCTAGCCTCTGCAGCAATACATGCACATGGTACCCAAACATACATACAAGTAAAACATCTATATACATAAAAATAATTTTTTAAATGGGGGCAAAAGTGGTGTCACATGCCTATAAGCCCACCCTGGGAGGCAGAGGCAGGCCGATCTTTGTGAGATCAAAGCCAGCTATATAGCAAGCTACATGACAGCCAGAGTTACACCAAGAGAGCCTGTTTCAACTACTCCCAAGAAAGCTGCTAACTTTAAATTTTTATTTACTTCCTATTTATTATTGTTGTGTTATTTGATTATTGAGGTGTGTGTCATGGCTTGCATGCAGAGATCAGAAGGCAACTCCATGCAGAGATCAGAAGGCAACTCTGTGGAGTCCCCTTTCCTCCTTTAAACATTTTAAATTACATTATTGATTTGTATTTGTCTTCGTGGGTACACACATGCACACATGTTACAATACATGTGTGAAGAGCAAAGAACGGCTTTTAAGGGTGGAGCCTCTACTTCCACCTTAATGTGAGTTTTGGGGAATCAAACACAGGTCTTTAGGTTTGTGTGGCAAGTGTTTTAAGCATTGATCACATTGCCGACCTGTTTGTTTATTGATTTGAGACAGATTTTCTCTATGTGGCCCTGGCTATCCTGGAACTCTCTACATAGACCAGCTAGTCTCAAACTCACAGAGACCGTCTTGCCTCTGCTTCTGGAGTGCTGGGATTAAAGGTGTGCACCACCATGTCTGGCTCATTTACTGACTTTTTACAAATTATCGATTTATTTGAGACAGGATCTTCTGTATCACAAACTGGCCCGAACCTCGCTATGTAGCACAGGGTGAACTCCTGATCTTCCAGCCTCCATTTCCCAAGATTGCATCCATTTTGGAAAACTACATGTAAAAATAATCTTATTGCCGGGCAGTGGTGGTACATGCTTTTAATCCCAGCATTTAGGAGGCAGAGGCAGGCAGATCTCTGTGAGTCTGAAGCCAACCTTGCTACAGAGCGAATTCCAGGACAGGCTCCAAAAAGCTAAAGAGAAACCCTATCTTGAAAAACCAGAAAATAAATAGTCAGGCAGTGGTGGTGCACACCTTGAATCCCAGCACTTGGGAGGCAGAGGCAGGCAGATCTGAGTTCAAGGCCAGCTTGGTCTACTTAGTGAGTTCCAAGGTAGCTGGGACTATACAGAGAAACCCTGCCTTGAAAAAGCAAAAGAAAAATAAATAAATAATAATGGAGCTAGGAGATGTGGTTTATGCCTTTAATCCCAGGATTTGGGAAGCAGATATAGGCAACTCTCTGAGTTTATGACCAGCCTGGTCTACATGTTGAGTTCCAGGACAGCTAAGGCTACAGTGAGACCCTGTCTTGTTTTTAATCATTTTATGGGGCTAGGGAGGTGGCTCAGAGGTAGAATACTTGCTATAGAAGTATGAGGGCCTGAGTCCAAGTCCTTAGCACCCACATAAAATGTTGGATGCATTGTTGAGTCCGAATCCCCTCACTGGGCAGTCAGGAAATGTGGATTCCTGCTTCTCTGGGCTGTCATGGGTGGTCTGGCCAGCCAGTGAGCTCTAAGTTCAGTGAAAGGAAGATGGTGAGTGATTAACAATGGACAATGGCCACTTGGTTTCACATGTGTACAACAGACATACACATACACAAAGACAGCTTATTTAACCCACTTTATTCAAAATACTATTTTGACATGCAGTACATATAAAGTTATTGAGATGATATGATAGTTTATATTATTTTCTTCCATAAAGCCTTCAAGATCCAATGTGTATTTTAAATTTCCTGCTTATCTAACACAGCCACATCTCAAACATTCAAGAACTGAGAGGCTGTGACAGCCACACTACCTACAAGTCTGCGGATTTCACTGTGACCGCTCCCTCTATGGAATAGGAGGAAGTTGGCCTCAGCTTATAGAAACTATCACCCTTGGGTAACCTCTGCTCTTGCTGGGAAAACATCACTTCCGACAGATGGCAGCTTATCTCCCTCTCTCCTAAAAAAACGGATAAACAACTCAAATGATTGCTAACCCAGATGGGCTCCTGGGAGGACGCTTACAGCCACTGACTGGCCCACCTGCATCTGCTGTTCTCTCGGAAATGTAGAGGTGAGCAGATCGCAGGGAGATCCCTCCATGGTCAGACATTCAGCTTGTTTCTCACGCTATGTCTTTGCTCTGGGGAGCAGTGTTCACAAGTCCCAGACTCTTTTGGGATTCTGTCTCCTGCCTCTCAGAAGGTCTCTGCTGGGTGCCATTTCTGTGAGCAAGGGAAACTGGTGTGCACATGTGGTGTGTGTGTGTTGTCAGGCAGCTATTTTGAGAGCTGAGGTTCTGTGTTTCACTTACCCCTTTTTTTTTTTTTTTTTTTTTTTTAATTTTTAAAGAAAGGGTTTATCTGTAGCTTTTTAGTTCCTGTCCTGGAACTAGCTCTTATAGAGCAGGCTGGCCTCGAACTCACAGAGATCCGCCTGCCTCTGCCTCCCAAGTGCTGGGATTAAAGGCGTGCGCTACCACCGCCCAGCTTCACTTACCCTTCTTAATTAGATACTAAAAGAACAAATCTTGCAACCAGTTCATTCCCTTTCCCTTCCCTTATTCAGTCGAGAGAGAAGTAATTTACAATTTATGAGGAGCCTAGGGTGAAGAGAAAATTGATCTACCTGAGAAAGTCATATTCTGCCAGAGCGCTGGCCAGGTCCAGCATTCTGAGTTTGAAAATGTTCTTGTCTTTGCAGAGATTGGCTTCCTCCACGCTCTGGGGTGCTTTCGTATTTTAGGAACCCAGACTTCCAATATCTAGTGTCTGTCTACGGAACAGATGGAGTGCTTGGCTTCTGGGCCAGTAGGAAGGGAAGAAGCCTAGATTTTTCTACGCAAGCACAGTCTGCCCAAGCTGGGGGCTGTATTCTGAAAGACTGCTCTGAACCTCATCTGTGGTTTGTTCTAGCTAAGTAAATGCACTATTTGAAGTCGAGTGGGGTCAAGAAGAAAGGCGCATTTCAGATACAATTCAACTCAGAAATCAGTCTTTAAGTCTGGGAAAAGTGATCCCTTGGGCACCCCAAGTCCAAGTTCATTCTGCTGAAGAGTAGCCTCCACCTTGCTTCAGTCAGTAGGATTCTGTCTTCACAGCCAGGAAAGGATAGGACTTATAGAGGGCGGGGCCAGGGGCGGGGCTGACAGCGGGGCGGGGCTTCGTTTCTCCGCGGCCTGTCGCCTAGACAACCTCCTGCGGCTAGATGGAGACTTTTCAACAACGCTTATTTGGGGGGCCGGATCCGGGATCACTCAGCCCAGAGCAATTGGAGCAGTTGCGAGATTTCAAGGTGCGTTTACCTGTTTTGATCAAAGTGAGGCTCCTTAGGACAAAGGTCCCTCGAAAGAGAACCCCGGGAAGAGCAGAGCAGGGTCTGTTTCTGGAGATAAACGCCCGAGGACTATGGAGCATCCCTGAGCCCAATCCGCCGGGTATGAAAGCGCAAGAAGAACCAAGTAGGGGTCTGGCCAAGTAAAGAATTGACAGGAAGTGTAGCTCAGTTGGTGGGAGCTAGCATGCTGGCCTAGCCTGCACCAACCTCTGGGTCCCAATCCTCTCTACCCCACACCCCCACACCCACTACACACACCAGCACTGCCGTAGAGGCAGAGAAGTTCAAGGCCAGCTTCATCACGGTCCAGAACAGCCCAGGCACTATGAAACTCTCTGCCTTTAGAGAAAAGAAATGCGGCTGCCTCAAAGGAAAATCTGAAAACTGCTCCGGCTTTCAAACACTCCAGGAAAAGACCTGGCTTGTCCCCCCCTCTTCATACCTCTTTCTAGGCTTGAAACCTGGATCTCTCTCCCCAGATCTCTGACTCTTGGTTGTTGCTCCTCAGATCCAGACTCGCATCGCAAATGAAAAGTACTTGAGGACCCACAAAGAGGTGTCGCTGCTCATTAGCGGCTTCTTCAGGTAGGCGGGTTGACAGGTAGGCCTGAGAGAGCTAGTAAGGGTTTTCCCAGATCTCGCCAAATCTCGCCGGGAATAGATGGATAGATGAATATGCGTGCTCTCATCTTCCTTCAGACATTCTAACAGCTGCCCTCGGGGAGAATCTTCAGTTCGAGGCCAGCCTGAGTTGCATAGTGAGACTCAGGAAAAACAAAACAAAACAAAACAGCAAAACTGCCCCCCCTTTTTAAAAACAGAGTCTTATATAGCCAAGAGTGGTCTTGAACTCAAACTCCTTATGTAGCATAGGCTAGCCTTGAACTTGTGATGGTCCTCCTGCCTGCACCCTCCCAGGGGTTGGAACTACACAAACGCACCAGTTCGGCCTAGCTTGGAGTTCAAGGCTAGGCTGACGACAGAGTGAAACCCTCTCTTTAAAAAGCTAAAAATTAATAGAGAAACAAATAGAACTCCCATTTCCCAGTGTGTCCTAGGGCATGTTTCTTCAGTGCACTCCATCAGAATAGTAAAATCTCAGAACCAGAATGGCCAAGTGGTGGTGGCACTGGACCTAAGACACTGGATACGGCACACACCTTTAGCTACAGTACATGGGAGGCAGAGTCAGCTGGGTCTCTGTGAGTTGGAGTCTAGCCTGGTCTACAGAGAGAGTTCCAGCCATGGCTACATAGTGAGACCCTGTCTTGAAATAATTTCCTAATGAGATAACAGGAAAAGAACTGGAGAAACGCGACACGGATAGAGACCAGCGCGGTTGAAATAACCCTGGTGTCCATTTCTAGACTCTGCCGTTTCCCTACATCAGCAGCCGTCAAACTGTTGTGACGGTGTTGTCAGTCTCTGATTTATGGTATTAGCCCAGTGTTCGAAGCTAGTGGTACCTTGTGTGTCTGTCTCCACAGCATCCATACTGTGATGTCGTCTTGGTAACATTTGCTCACCCGCCCTCCCACCCCCGCAGCAACTCTATAAAAGAAAATTCATGACAGAGTTTAATTTTGTAGTCCTGGCTGTCCTGGACTACATGTGACATGGCTGTCACTCTGTAGACCAGGCTGGCCTCAAATTCATAGATCCGCCTGCCTCTGCCTCCCGAATGCTGGGATTAAAGGCGTGCCATCATGCCCAGCCCATTATTATTATTATTATTATTATTATTATTATTATTATTATTATTATTATCTTAATATTTATTTATTATCTATACAATATTCTGTCTGTGTGTATGTCTGCAGGCCAGAAGAGGGCACCAGACATCATTACAGATGGTTGTGAGCCACCATGTGGTTGCTGGGAATTGAACTCAGGACCTTTGGAAGAGCATGCAATGCTCTTAACCACTGAGCCATCTCTCCAGCCCCCCCATTATTATTTTTTTAAAACCATCTAATGGGGGCAGGAGAGATGACTCAGTTAAGTCCACCTGCTGCTCTTACAGAGGACCTCGGTTCAGTTCCCGGTACCCACATGGTGGCTAACAGCCTATAGCTCCAGTTCTAGGGGATCTGACAACTTTGGATGCCACAGGCATCAGACATGCATGTAGTACATTTACAAAAATGCAAAAGAAAAGCACACATAAAATAAAAATGAAGAGCCGGGCGGTGGTGGCGCACGCCTTTAATCCCAGCACTCGGGAGGCAGAGGCAGGCGGATCTCTGTGAGTTCGAGACCAGCCTGGTCTACAGAGCTAGTTCCAGGACAGGCTCCAAAGCCACAGAGAAACCCTGTCTCGAAAAACAAACAAAAAAATAAATAAATAAATAAAATAAAAAAAATAAAAATGAATCTGAAAATAAATAAAAGACAGTTTACATTATTGTTTCATTTTGCAAATGAGACAAGTTAAGCTCGGAGATGGGAAGTATACTTCTTTCTCAGGCTTCTGACCAAAGAACCAAGTGTTCCAGCCCCTGGCTCTCTCCACCATATGGTGCTGCCTGCTTGGGTGCACCTGGGACCCCCCACAGCAGAACACTCACTTGCCATGCCTGAAGCCCTGGTTCAAGCCCCAGAAACCACCAGGTTTTCCAAACCCCTTTTGCTTTTCCTTGGATCTCACTAGTCTTCATATTTTGGCCATTTCTCCGAGGAGCTTCAGAGTCACACAACAGGGAGGAAAGGAGTTAGTGAACTCCTTTCCTGAGACCTCGTCTCTTTGAAGAGCAGATCCATTGTGGCCAGGGCAGATAATATCATGATGCAAGTCAGATGTGCTAATGCAGACATTTTATTCCAGCACTTAGAAGGCAGAGAAAGCAGATCTCTGTGAGTTCAAGGCCCATTTGGTCTACATTGTGAGTTCCAGATCAGCCATGTCTACATACTTGAAATCTGTCTTTTAAAAAATCTGTATATCTATCTGTATTTCTATCTCTCTCCTGATATATATGTCATGTGCCAGTGCCAGATGTGGGGATCATACTTACATTTTTATTCTAAAGGGACCCGTTACTTATTACTATGATGACTTCACACAGTCTCACAACACCGGCCAGGCTGGCCTCAGTCCCCAGGTGGTGGCCTGAGTTATGCTGCTGGCTTCTAATGGCACAAATCCTTGCCACTCTGGGCCCACCTCCTTCTACTCGATCTTGTCTTCATTCTGTGATTGTGTGAGTCCAACACATGTTCCCATTCCCTTTTTCACAGTGCCAGCAACCCACTGCCCCGTGCTAAGCACATGCCCCCCACCCTGTCCCCCCTCCCATCAGGAGTCCTTCACTTCTCCTGCACTGCACTGAGCAGTGGGTTGCCTGGCACTGTGAAACAGATAGAGTAGATACAACCCAGCAGCTAACCTCAGGGCAGTCACACGACCCAGTGCTGTTTGCATATCTGGTTCTTGATGTTTCCATATCTGGTTCTTGCTGTTTCCCTGGACTAGGAATGTCTTGTCTTAGGGTTTTCTATTTATTATTATGAAGAGACACTATGACCATGGCAACTTCGGTGGGGGGTTTTTGTTTTGTTTTGTTTTTTGCTTTTCTCAGGATAGAGTTTCTTTCTGTAGATTTTTGGGAGCCTGTCCTGGAACTCACTCTGTAGACCAGGCTGGCCTCGAACTTTAGAGAGATCCCCCTGCCTCGGCCTCCCAAGCGCTGGAATTAAAGGTGTGCGCCACCACCGCCTTGCGGCCAGGACAACTCTTATGGCTCCCAGTTTCAGAGGTTCGGTCCATCATCATGACAGGACTCCTGGCAGCTTGCAGACAGACATGGTGTTAGAGAAGAAGCTAAGAGTTCTACATCTGGATCTGCGGGCAGCAGGAAGAGACTGAGACACTTGGCCTTGCTTGAGCTTCTAAAACCTCAAGGCCACACCTGCTAATAGTGCCACTCCCTATGGGCCTATGGGAGCCATTTTTATTCAAACCACTACACCATTCTTCCAAAGCACTGTTTAATAGTCTTTTAGCAACCACTTGAGGCTCCTTGGCCTTTTAGGAAACTTACCTTTTGTCAGGTCTTCCAGGAAGGCCTGTATTTTTCACTCACCCGAGTACACGCACGTGTGTGTATGTGTGTGTGTGTATATGTGTGTGCGTTTGTGTATGGTGTGTCTATGTGGTACGTATGTGTGTGGTATGTGTGTGTGTGGTGTGTGTGTTTGTGTGTGTGTATGTGGTATGTATGTGTGTGGTATGTGTGTGTGTGGTATGTGTGTGTGTGGTGTGTGTGTGTGGTATGTGTGTGTGTGTTTGTGTGATGTATGTGTTTATGTGGTGTGTGTGTGTTTGTGGTGTGTGTGTGTGTGCACGTGTATGCACATGTACAAGCATGTGGATACTTTCTCTATGTCTAGTCTCATTCACAGGGTCTCCCTGAATCTGGCGTGAGGCTGACTGATGGCTGGAGAGCTTGGGTGATCCCCTGGCTTCCAGCTCCCTCAGTGCTGGGGTTATAGACACGGGGTCAGGGCCCAGCTTTTGACTTGGGTACTGGGGCTCTGGGTTCAGGGCCTCTTGCTTGGGCAGCAAGTGTTCTTCAGTTTCAGAGGTTTAGTTCATCTCCCTAGCCCCGATTTTTTGTTTCTTACTTTAAAATCATTCTCATAAATTGTAGTTACATGTAATTTACATTCAGTAATCTTCTAATTGAACTGAAGGAGGAGGGAAGCAAAATTATTGGACCTTGGACTTTGGCCACGAGAGCACCTGGAAATGGAGGTGGCTGGCGGCCACCACAGCCAGAGGCAAAGCAAACAAGGAGGGAACACTGGCCTCGGGCACCCAAGACCTGGCCCTCGCCTGTGTTTATTGTCTGTATAAACTTGGGCAAATGATTAACCTTTTTTGGTTTGTTGTTTGTTTTCAAGCCAGGGTCTTGTGGCTGGAAGTTTTCTCTGTCCTGCTGCCCCCCCCCCCATCAGTTTCTCTCTCACTTGCTAGTTTCCACAGCCACTTATAAAATAACCACACAGAGGCTAATATGTTAAATATAATTGTTTGATCAATGGCTTTGCTATAAGCTAGCCCATTTCTAGAAGTTTATATTTTACCATGAGGCTCGTGGCTTGCTGGTAATGTTCGTACCTCTTTCTCCTTTGGCGGCTACATGGCATCTTGTCAGTTTCACCTACTCTTTCTATCTCTGTTCGAATTTCCTGCCTGGCTTTACTCTGCTAAGCCATTGGCTGAAACAGCTTTACTCATCAACCAATAAAAGCAACACATATACTGAAGGACGTCCCACATGAGGGTCTCTCAAACAGCCTTGGCTGGTCTGGAATTTGCTCTGTAGACCAGGCTGGCCTTCAGTTTACAGAGATCCTCCTGTCTCTGTCTCCCGAGTGCTGGGATTAAAGGCGTGCGTCACTGCCGCCTGGCTATGATTAACCTTTTTGAGGCTTGCTTTCTTACATGGGAAATGGAGACATAATTGCCATTTTACAGGGATGTTATAAAGCAATATAATATTAGTAAATGTTTTACGAAACCTAGAACTTTCTGGACTGTCAGACACTTCCAGCATCCTGGTGATATCATTTTCATGTCTGCCTGTTGTGTAGTAGAGCTAATAGCATCTAAAGTTGTTAAATAATTTTTTTTTTTTAGCTTTGTTGTCTCCTGGCCTTGAGAAAGCCATGGTAAAATTCCTCAGCCCATTCCAGGGTCACGTTCATGTCCACTCAACATGAGATCCTCGGGGACCTGGAAGATACTCTTTTTTGCCATGTTTGGTCCAGTGTTTGTAAGTGTGTCAGGGGACAAAGCCTGCTGGCCGCTCCACAGCTCCTCTGTGGCAGGAAAACGGCCTAGGTTCATTAGTGCTCGATGCTTGGCCTGGAACTCAACTATGTAGACCAGGCTGGCCTGGACTCACAGGGATCTGCCTGCCTAAGTCCCTTGAGTGCCCAGACTAATGGCATGGTCATGGTCACCACACCTGGCCACTCCATGGTTTTGGTTTTGTTCCTTACCTTAGACCCTCTGTTTTTTTGTTGTTGTTGTTGAAGATCCTCTGATTTATTGATGACTTTTAGAATGGGCAGGCCTGACATTAATCTGCTTCCCAAAGAGCCAGATGGGGCAGTGGCCACACCCACAGACCCCCCTTTACCTGCCTTCCTTTTATTTTTTCCTGTTTTTCAGAGAAATGTTTCTGAAGAGACCAGACAACATCCTTGAATTTGCTGCGCGTGAGTACAGAGGCAGCGGGGTGTCACACATGCCCGAGCCAGAAGCAGAATTGGGGATTTAGAGTTGGGCAAGCCCAGGGCTTTCTGTGGGGCCTGGGGTCTTCTTCACTTGATGTCACCCCAACAGGAGCTGTTCTTTGAAGTCCCTTTCTAACCCCTAACTTTTCCTCAAAATGAGGCCAGAGTGGCACCGAGGCAGGACTTCTCTTGGAGGGCAAATGAGTTTTGAGATTCAGAAAGGAGAGCGGGCAGCCCTAGTCCGCGGGGGATCTTACAGTGGCGCCTGACCCGAGCTGCACTTTAGGACCGCCAGGGGAGCATTTGAAAAATACAGATGCTCAGGCTCCGCCTCTAGAGATTTTTATTTAATTAGTCTGGGGCGGGGGCCCAGCAGCCAAGGTTTTGAAGGCTCCCCAGGTGGTTTTTAATGGACTCGGCTGCCGAGCTGACTTCGGGTCAAACTGTGTAGAGTGGGAGCTGGGCGGGTGTCTTGGGTGCGGTTAACCCTGGGAGCCCACAGCGCTCTCGGCTCGCTTTCGCTGCCACAGCAGAGCTGTGGCTCACATTCTTCCTGGCGGAAGGATTCTTCTGCCGTCGCGCCGTGAGACGTGTTCCTAGAAAAGGTCTGTATTTCAGAGATACCAACGGGCAAGCCGAGTGGAGATCAGAATAATACTTGGTGCTCATTTGGGTTCTAAGATGGACTCAGATCCTGAGCCCTTGGTGGCTGGCTCCCTGAGCATCAAGTCGGCCAAAGAGCCCAGACTGGGCAACCTGCATGAGCCTTGCCTGGGTTGCTTTCCTGGCATTCATTCATCAAGGCAGCTGCCAGGGCCTAGCGGTGAGCGCCGAGGTGGTATTGTGAAGTGGGGACCACCAGTGAGTGCGGTTAGGACAAAGCCTCCGACTTGTCAGTAGAGTATGCTGTTGCCCAGGCTTTCCCCCTCAGTAGAGATAATTTCGTTCTGATTTTCTGTCCCAGACTATTTCACAGATCCAAGACTTCCCCACAAGATTCACATGCAGCTAATTAAAGACAAGAAAGGAGTCTAATTAGCAAAGCCACAACGCTCAGCTGCGGGGAGAAGCCAGAAGGAATCCAGCCTCGGGTGGGTGTTAGCCTTATTCTTGTGACAAGCAACACGGGCTTATGGGTCTAGGTGTGAAGGAACGCAAGCCGGGGAAACTGCAGAGCAGAGCAGTGTGGGGCGGGTGTGCCATTTCCCTGACAGTTTAGGGGGCTTAGAGGCTGGGACCCGAGGCCCTGAGTGTCTCTGTGTCAGCGGCAGGATCTAGTGAGGCAAATTGAGAGGGTGGGTGTGGGACGTGTCCTGGGGGGTGGGGGATGGAGGGAGTCGACGCCGAGGCCTTTTCCCAGCTTCAGGTTGGGAGCAGCTTCCCTGCTACTTTGTTCTCTACTTATACAACATGACAGAGCACCTCGTGTTTTATTCCCGCCCCTCACAGGCAGGATAATTCCTGGAACCATTCTGAAAGCTGGAGTTATTTTTAGTAGTTTGTTTGTTTTTTCTTCCTTTTTTTTTTTTTTTTTTTTTTTTTTTTTTTTTTTTTTTTTTTTTTTTTTTTTTTTTTTTTTTTTTTTTTTTTTTTTTTTTTTTTTTTTTTTAATTTTTGTTTGTTTGTTTTTGCTTTCCAAGATAGGCTTTCTCTGTGTAACTTTGGAACCTGTCCTGGAACTTGCTCTGTAGACCAGGCTGGTCTTGAACTCACAAGAGATCCGCCTGCCTCTGCCTCTTGAGCGCTGGGATTAAAGGCATGCGCCATTACCGCCCAGCTGTTTTTTCTTACTGTGAGGTGGGAAAGGCCGCAATCCTAATCTAGCGTAACCACTTCTGTCTTGCAGGGTCATCTGGAGGCCTGAGAGCCCTGTTGCCATCAGACTGGGTCTCCAAGTTGTATGGGCCTCTTCCTCCCACAGAGGTTTTCAGAGATGCTCATTAAATCCAGACCCACCCACTCTCTCTCTCTCTCTCTCTCTTACCTTCATTTGGCTGGAGGAGGAGGAGGAGGAGGAGGAGGAGGAGGAGGAGGAGGAGGAGGGGAGCGCCGTGCATGGGGCCTGCTGTTCTTGCCTTTCTCCTTTTCTCCCTGAGGTGGCCTGGGGTTGGGAGTGGCAGGGACTGTTCGCTCCAGCCAGAAGGACAGACGGTGAGAACTCAAGAGGGGCCATGAATATTGTAAAACATATACCTGACAGGCCTCTGGGGAGGGGGAGGACTTGGTTCTTGGGAGCTCTAGGAGCAAGCTGGTCATCTATTTGATATCTGGATAAGAGGCAGCAAGACAGTTCAGGTGGTGGCATGAAGCCCTTTGCACAGTTAGCCCCCACCTCGTGTCTGTGTGTGTGTGTCTCTGTGTGTGTGTGTTGTATACCTTTCAGGTTTGTGACCTCATTCTTTGGCCTCTGCAATCAGCCGGCTTCACTGTATAAAGAGCTCACGTGAGTTTCACGTGTCAGCATCACCATGGCAACAGAAACACAGGCTGAGTGTTATTTGTATTCCCTGGCTCCTAACTGTCCTCACTTGCATTGGTTAAAACGGGCGACAGAAAAGGAAGGCCCAGAAACCACATAAGTTATGAACTGGAACCCTCAGGAGGTTGATTCGTTTTTGTTTTAAGTAGGGTCCCACTCTGTAGCCTAGGCTGCCCTCGAATTTTCCATGATTCTCCTGCCTCAGCCATGGCTCTGAAGGTGCTGGGCCTGTGGGCATTTGCCGCTCGCTGCCCTGGCTTTAGAGGAGTTCCTTCTGTGCTTCAGAATTAGACTTCAGCGTCTCTGGCGTGGACAGAGCTGTCCTTGCTTAGGAAGTATAAAAAAAAGGGCCTGGGGAGAAAGCAAAATGCTTGCTTTCTAAGGTGGAGGAACTGAGTTCAAGCCCCAGAGCCCACATTAAACAAAAAGTCCAGGTGTGGTGGTGTGTGTGTGTGATTTCAGAACTGGGGAAGCAGAGGCTGTGGGTTCCTGGTTGAGCCAGCCTGGCCCCGTAGATGGGTCCCAGGCCAATGAAAGACCCTGTTTCAAAAACAAAAAACAAATTGAGGTAAATAACAGTGGGCAGTGGCTCAAGAACAGCACCGGAGGCTGTCCTCTGGTCCTCACGTGTGTCACGTGTGCCGTCTGGTGTGGCGGCTTGCACCGGAAGCTGTCCTCTGGTCCTCATGTGTGCCCTCTGGTGTGGCGGCTCGCACCGGAAGCTGTCCTCTGGTCCTCATGTGTGCCTCTATAATCTCGGCACTCAGAATGATGGAGCATGATAATTCTATGAATTCCAGGCCAGCGCAGACTATTGCATGTGGTCCCATCTCAAACAAACAAAACTGGTTACGAGCCCATACTTCTGGTCCCGAGGACCTGAGTTTAATTCCCAGCTCCCTTATCCGGCATCTTACAACTGTCTGTAAGCCCAGCGTCAGGCCAGTGTGACACCTCTGATCCATTCATGTGCACATACCCCCTTCCCCCCACATAACAAAACAATAAAAGCAAATCTTAAAAACAGACAAAGCAAACGTTGGTCAGAAAACATACATATTAGATGTTCCTGGGCCCATTCCCATGAGAAGAAAGGAAAGATGGGGGAGCATGGTGATCTTGATGTCCTTGAGCGCCTGCTATAATGCTGGCTCAGTCTTGGGGGGAATCCCTGATAGAAATGAGGACAATGTCTCCTTTGTTGTTTTTTATTTAATACATTTTTAAAGTTTTTATTTTATGTGGATAAGTGTTTTGCCTGCATGTATGCCTGTGTATCACATGTGTGCCTGATACTTAAGTACGCCAGAAGAAGGGGTCAGATCCCCTGGAACTGGAGTTACAAACATTGGGAGCTGCCATGTGGGTGCTGGGAATTGAACCCAGGTCCTCTGGAAGAGCAGCCGCTGCTCTTAACCACCCTATTTTATGTGACTTTTAAGAAATAGGTTTCACAATGATATTTGTATGCATGTATACATAACATGTATGTGCTAGTCTCTAGAGGAGCAGAACAGATAGAATGAATTCATCTCTATTCATTAAAAGGAGATTTCTTACAGAGGTGTACAGACTGTGGGCTGGTGGTCCAACAGTGCTGTCTACTTGGAATCCTGAAGGACTAGGTTCTAACTCTAGCAAAGGAACGCCTCGGCAGTGGGGTAGATGAGGTCACCGAGTGGCTGAGAACAAGCAGGCACAAAGCAAAAGCTTCCTTCTTCCGTGACCTTTTATGTGGGTGCCAGCAGGTGTGATCCAGATTCAGGGTGGGCTCTTCCACCATCAGGAAAAGCCCTCACCGGGTGCCCAGCTGCTTGGAATTAGTTGATCCCTGGTAGAATCAAGTCCACAACCGAGATCAGCCAGCACAGCATACAGCATGTCCTTAGATTTCCTTCCTGTCCTGTTGCCCGCCAGCCCCTGTCCTCCCACCCCTCTTCAAGTGTGTACACTTAAACTGCATTTCAAAGTCTTCCCAAGGAAAACAGGAGTTCAGCCAGATGCTGTGCTAGTCCTTGGGATAAGAGGCTCTCCTGCTCTAAGGCTCTTTGTGGCCTGGGGAAATGATAGTCTTTACCTCCAAAAGTTTACTTGAACACCTCTTTTTGTTTGTTTGTTTGTTTTTGTTTTTTTGAGACAGTGTTTCTTTCTTTTCTTTTCTTTTTTTTTTTTTTTTTTTTTTTTTTTTGCCCCAATTGTCCTGGAATTCACTCTGTAGACCAGGCAGACCTTGAATTTGAATTCAGAGATAGATCCAAGTGCCTCTCTAGCTGGGGATTAAAGATGTACACCCTTACTGCCTGGCTGAACATCTCAGTCTTCAGTCTGAAAACTCCAGCAGGGTGGGAACCAGGTCTGGCTCTCAGGCGTTCACCGAGTTGGAATTCATGTGGAGAGACTAAATGTGACGTAGCTGGATGAGCCCTCACGGTTCAGCACATCGGCAACTATAAAGGCAGGCGCATCTGCCTACGGCAGAAGTAGGCAGGTGGGATAGGAGGAAGGAGAGGCCTTGTGGAAACTGGTGTGGGACGGGCAAGAGTTTTCCAGGCAGATTTGTAGAGCAGTGGGAAATCAAGTACCATTGCTCCCATTATGCTGAACATGAGGCGGGGACAGAGCCTGCTTATCACCTGCTAACGTTTCTAGCCACTACCTGGAACTCACTCTGGCCTCGAACTCAGAAATTAGATTCCCTTTATCTCCTGAGTGCTGAGATTGAAGGTGTGTAGCTACCACAACTGGCCTGCACCCCTTTTTTTTTTTTTTTTTTTTTGAGACAGGGTTTCATGTAGCCCAGGCTGGCCTCACATTTGCTATGCTGGCAAGGTTGACCTCAGACTCCCGCTCTTTCTATCCTTACCTCCTTTTGTTAGGATTACAGGTATGTGCCACTACCCTCAGCTCAGATTATAAACCTCACTGACGACTGCAGGTTTGTAGCTAGCAAAGCCTCAAGTATTTGATCATAAGGGATAGAGACTAATAGACATTACCATTGTCTATTGACAGGACATGATTGACATTGTCATTGCCAAGACATATCCTAATTTCCCAGCCTCCCTTGCAGCTAGGATCAGCACATGTGCCTGTGGGATGCTGAGAGGTTCTTGGAAAGCTCTTGGGCTGGTACAGTAGATGAAGCACTTGCTTTTCTTTCTGACTCAGGCCTGGATGTAAAGCTTGGAGCCAAGCAGGCATCATAAGAACATATGAAATAACAAGGGTCAGGGTAAAGGGAGGAAAAGTCAGAAGACGGGGGCTGGAGAGATAGCTCAGAGGTTAAGAGCATTGTTTGCCCTTCCAGAGGTCCTGAGTTCAATTCCCGGCAACCACATGGTGGCTCACAACCACCTGTAATGAGGTCTGGTGCCCTCTTCTGGCCTACAGGCATACACACAGATGGAATATTGTATACATAATAAATAAATGTTTATTTAAAAAAAAATCAGAAGACGCCAGGCCTTGATGACATCTTGGTAGGGAAGGGAGCAGTGGGAAGAGATGCTAGAGAGAAGACAAACCACAAAAAGCAAAAGCCTTTACTAAAAGGCAAAGGTTGGATGCTTATCTTTGAGATGGAGAGCTAGCAAAGAATTTTAGATCGTAAGACCCCGGAGAGAGACGTGTTTATGTGGTATGGAAGAGAAAATAAGGGGAATGAGGACAAGACCTGTGGGGAAGGAGACAAGAGCCACGGTGGCAGCCCATTCTTCCTCAGTCTACAGAGTACCCACAGAGAATGTGCTTCGTTTCACCCCTAGAAAGTCCGTCTACAATGGCTTCAATGCAGGGGGATCCCAAGATGGTGACAGGTACCCAGTCTGGCCTTCCTGGCTCTCCATTTCACCAGCCACAGCCGTCACCAAGGCCCCCTGGACTCCAGTGCATTTCTGGCAAGGTGGACAGAGCCAGATTCAGGGCCATGTGACCCTCCAGGGATTTAACAGAGACCAGATCAGGGGGCAAAAGAGGTAGGGAGTCCCTGCACTCTGTGACCCATTTTCTAGGGAAGAGCTGGAGGATCTGGGAGAGGAACTTTAATAGCCATCTTGTCTTGGGGCAGAGGATCAAACCTTGAGTGTGCTAGCCAGGCACCCACCACCGAGTCCATCTTAAGAAGCCTCATCTGAGGGCTGGAAAGATGGCTCAGTGGTTAAGAGCACTGGCTGCTCTTCCAGAGGTCATGAGTTCAATTCCCAGCACCCACATGGTGGCTCACAACCATCTGCAATGAGATCTGGTGCCCTCTTCTGGCCTGCAGACATACATGGAGGCAGAATGTTGTATACATAAGAAATAAATAAATAAATAAATCTTAAAAAAAAAGAACCCTCATCTGAACGTGCCAATCTCTTGTCTAAGGCCTCTTTTTGAAAAATTATTTTAAATCATGAAGAGGCCAGAGGTGTCAAATCCCCTGGAACTGGAGTTACAAGTGGCTGTGAGTCAGCTGATGCAGGTGTTGATACAGAAGCTGGGTCCTCTGGAAGAGCAACAAGTGCTTTTA